ACTGCTGAAAGTGTCTGTTAATCTATGCTTAGTCTGATCAACGAATTTAGCATTTCAATCCTACTGTCATCGCTTTTATAATTGTCACACTCACAGTGGTAAGGTTTTATTTAAAGGAACAAGCAGACCCAAAGGAACTAGAGATACTTTCTTTCTATATTTATATTAGGGCCACAAGGCGATGCAGTGGTTAGTACTGCCATTTCACAGCAAGAAGGTCCTGGATTTGAATCCAGCCTTGAGCCTTTCTGTGAGGAGTTTGCATGTTCTCCCCGTGTCTGGGTTGTCTCCAGGTACTCTGGCTTTGTCCTACAATCCAAAGTAATGCATGGGGTTATCTAAACCGGCTAAAGGTATTAATGTGGATTTAAATATTTGTCTGTCTCTATGTGTTAGCCTTGTGACAGATTGGGATAGTGATCATTGGGTTACAAAAGAAATCTGATAAAAAATCCCTGCAGTCAGTCACCAGCCAGTGGTTTTTTGTGGTCCCTCACAGTTGTTGACATATTTTTTTTCCTTCTGTGACTGGGACCTAAATGGGATGCTTATTTGAGACAATCGGTCAGGTTTTCTGTTGCATCATTTAAGGTTTTTTTAAAGGCTTTATACAGATTTTCCTTTTTTACATATGCAATACACTTTTGCTGCTGAGAATACGAATAAACAGACTTCAGTATGAATGAAGTGCAGCTGAACAAATACATAATGTAGTTCAATCATATTATTTATTCTTATAATCATATTTGATTTCTTTAATATGACATGGATGAGGCAGAGTGATAAAATAGATATTGGTGTTGCATTTATCTTGTGTGATTCCTTGGTTTTGAAGATAGAAGCAGCGTTTAAAAACTGTGGGTGTATAATGGATGCAAGTGGGTGACAATGATAATTAATCTTTTGGTCTACACTGACATGATGGCATTGCACAGCTGCTGTAGATTCATGATGTGTTTGAACTTCACCAGGTTATCTTGACCATGTGTACATGAAAGAATGGTGAATGAACTGGTACTTTTACAACACATTTTAAGTCAGGTAAGCAATCAAAGCACCTTCTACTACAAGTTTAATTCACCCAATCACTCATATATTCATACAGACCTTTGTGACTTTTATGTCTTTGAAAAGCACTATATAAATAAACCTTACTTACTTGAGCCACAGCTGACCCATACATTGATGCATCCAGTGGCTGGTTGGATATTTGCATTATCAAGCAGTACTTAATATAGAGGCCGGTAAGTGTATATCACTTTTTCAAAATGTAAGTTCTTTTTGCTTCTGAGACCAATAAAAATGTTTTAGCTGACAAGGTCAGCAGATGACTAATGCATTCATTACAACTCAATGTTACCCAGATGAATTCTGGGGTATAATGCTTGTTTAATGCTTAATAAAATCTGTTGGCCACATACAGAGAAAACCCCCCGGCCTGAGCAATGTGTGCATTCTTTTGAAGTCGAGGGTCTAATGATAGAAAGATAAAACTTGCATCAGGAAGGTCATATGCAACATAATCTTCCACTAATGGCATATAAGGACAATGACTAAAGAATTTTGATTGTGCTTTACAATGACAGCAACCCAGCAAACTTACAGTAATCCTCCTGAGGATTATGATAATGTTGACATTATTATCCATGAGTTGAATAAAGTCCATAAAGTGGATTGAAGAGCAGATAAAAACACAAGGTTGAGTGGTAGGTGTTACAAGAAAAAGTGCTTTAACTGAAAACATACCTAACAAATCTTTAATCTAAAACAGGGAGCTAGCAATGACCTGATAAAGACAGAGGGAGAAGAAAAGGCTAAATACAGATTAACACAAAGTCAGTGATAGAGAGAATGAGAACCCCGACTAAAACCAATCCAGTTCTTCATCTGTTTCTTACTATATGGAATAAATTGTACTTATTGGTGGCTGAATGTCACCACAAGCTCTGGAGGCAACGAACACAGCCCAAGCAGAGCCCAACTGAAGCATTTCAGAGCAAAACCAAAACTGTCTGGCCACCCAGTGCTGGGAAGCAGCTGAAGTCAGCTGTCTCTCCAGACTGTCTGCTGGGAAAATACAGTTTTTCTCCTGGAAACAGATGAGAATCAAAGTTGGCATAGATGACAAATGATAATTTGGAAATGAGAGGGAGCGTGCGGATTGACAGATTTAAAAATGGGAGAGGAGAAGGAAGGAGGCTAGATAGAGGGGAAGCAAAAGAGAAAATAGGGTTATGCTAATTTGAATGGATGGGGAGATTAAATAGAGGCATATCAGGTCATGTGCCTTCTAGAGACAGGGCCCTAATCCCCTTCTCCTGCTTCTTGCAGCTCTACTTCGCAAACATACAGTACAAATGCACACACTCACACATATTCACATACACAAGATGACGTAAAAAGACTGGTGCACTGTGCAGAGCATTTTAGATGACAGTCGTGAAAATGGAGTAAGACATCTGGAACTGCAGGGAAAAGAAGAAAGAGTGAAGAAACAACGTGTAAAATATTTTATTTTACTTATTTCTTCTGTTACCAATGCACGCTGTCAGTCCTACTGGAATATTTACTTTGAGCAAACTTCACATGTGATAAGGATTTTTTATTTTTTTTTATTTTTTGCAAAGTCAAGGCTTGTAATCAAACACATATTTACCTTTAAACCTGAATTAGACATCAAAAATACACACTGAGAGACAGAGAATCAGTAAGCATATAGAAGATAAGATAAGTAGAGTGAAAAAGTACTTCCTTAAGCAAATATTAAAAGATGATGCTCCAAAATAGATATCAGCAAGAATCCTGCCATGACATGACCGCAAAGGACATCAACTTTCTCTAATAATAATTATTTGGCAACCAAGTGTTTTCAGTGGCTAATAAATGTAGCAAAAATATGCATACAAATGTGGACATTCAGTTGTACATACTTATCTGATGCTCAGCTGATGATATTTGCAAAGCAAGAAATAGATAAAAAGCACAGATGAGTTCTGTGACATGTAAAAGGGCAAAAAAATTGTAATCATCGGGAAAGGATTACATATACCTATGCAGTATCAAAATGTATGCACGAAGATCATAACCTCACTCTGTTCATTTCTAGAGCCGATACTAGCTCACACACACAGTTACGCAGAGGAGCCCTTAAGAGTCCTTATCAGCTTTTTCATGCATTTAAGATAAGATAATATGGTCTTCAATTTACATAATTTCCTGCTCCAAAATAACACAACATTGTAGCAGAAATTGACAAAGGCAGGCTCTGTCAGTGTGCTGTTAAACTGCTCAAGGCCAGCTATGATTATTTCAGACAACTGCCACTAAAAAAAACTGGGACATGGTGTACAAACATCATCTGCCTCAGATAGAATATTTTGGTGAAGATAGATAAATGGGTAAAAAATGTTGTATAAAAACATTTCATTGTGTATATTTTTAAATGTGCACATAAATAAAACTAGACAGGGCAGCATCACAGCGTGATATGTTTCCCCTATGCTCATTGTCAAAGTGTTTAGTTTTCAGTACAGTATCTAAATATTAATGAATCATTAGCAGTCGGTGCCACTGCTTTGTTCTGAGTCCTTTCTATAATTAGCTTGTTTTTATGGAATACATTACACGCTGTATACAGGTTGTTGCAACAAACACAAACGACCTTGCATGATAAGAGAAGTTCTATTATTGGAATGAAAAGAACTTGTCAACTATAAAACCAGACAGTTTCACGTGTAAGGCAGATAATAAGTGACAGACACACACACATAGAGGCAGGCAAGAGAGGGGAGGAGCTGTCCTTGGTGCTGAATCAGCCACCTGTGCTTTGCTGCTGGTGCTCTTTGTGAACTGTCTACGCATATAGTATTGTATTGTTTTAAAATATACTCTTATTTTCTTCTTGTTCATTTCAATTTTTTTAATTAGACTTAATTTTAAATACATAAGATAAAATTTATAAAATCAAATACTTGTACATATTTATGAGAAATAACTTGGTATAAGAATAGTATGCAAGTACAAGATAAATCAGTCCTGGATATGCATCAGATAATTTGCTGATTTGTATCCATACACATGTGCAGACACCTGCTCACAAAATTTAGAAGTACAAACCTTTTATAAACACGGTTGTATTTGCCTCCATACCTCCACTATACTACTTAAGTGTCCATTTAGCTTTAACCGTTGTTCTTGTGGTGTACAAATAAACATTGTACTGCACGAAATTCAGCCTTATTGCCTTTCATTTTTCACCAACCCCTGCATATTGCCCCAGTAGTGAATGCAGTCTTGCTTTCAGGAAACTGAATGAGATCATATTGTACGCAAATGTTTTCAGTGGGGGAAGAAGTTTAATTTCACTAATGAAGTAATAATATTTGCAGGCTTGCTACCAATATCCTGTGCATCAGGAGAAGTGTATTAGCATCGCACCGCACTTAAACATCAACAACATAATCATGCTATTTTTATATGCGATATATTGGAATTTTCTACCTGGTGCAATATTGTGGAGGTAATCTACTGTTTGCTTGAGCAAATTTAAACAAATCAAAGTGAACAAAGTTTAATTCCAAATAATAAAACCACTTTTTATAAACACAGTTAGCTAAGAAATCTTTCACTGAAGTAAAATAAGCTGTCGAAACACATCATTACAATGTTGACCGACCATTCGAAACGTTTTGTTTTATTTATTTATTTTATTGGCCCTTACTCTCCACTGTAGGCAAAGCGTAACAACAACATAGACGCTGAATATCTAAATACGATGCTTATAAGGAGAATTCAACAGCTCTCACCCGAATCTGGTACTGCCCCTTCATCATCATCATTTTCCAGCCTATACAATTCAGCTCCTCTGCTGCTTTTGGCGTAGTTTCGTTGGTCTTGACCAATCAGGACGAGCGGAGCACTTGTGACGGTGAAATCAAAGTTGTTGTAGGAGCGCGTGTGCGAGTGAGCGAGCGAGCGGAGAAAAACTGGCCGGTGTGAAAGAGAGGAGAGAGGCGGCGGAGGAAAGTGGACGAACCGGCTGGCTGCAGCTGTTGGATATTTTTCCCACCGTGTTTTTAGAGCGAAAAAAAGGACGGAGACAGCTTTAAAGCGTATTCCTAGATGGCTGCTGTCGACAAGTTAGCAGTCAGAATTGGTCCAGGGTCGCTGCACGAGAGACCGTAGGGATGCTTGCACCTCTGCATGCGTAGTTTCCAGATTCCTCTATCGCTGTGGACTTGCCAGTTTGGTTGAGTTTTCCTGAGGAAGGAAGATTTTTTTAAACAGAAAATGACAGAAATAAGCGAAAAGGAGAACGAACCTCAAAACCGGGACCTTCACCGACCACAGGCTACTGTGCCTAGTCAACAAGAATCAAAGGTAACGGAACACACCTGTGTAAAAACTGCAGGATTTTTTTTTTTTAAAAGCAATAATCTGTAACTGATAGAGGAATGTTTTTTATATCCTTTTCTTTACTGTTTTATTTAGCGGTCTTTCAGTTTAAGATAAATAATTTTTAATATGTAAATTGGGACTAAGTGCGAGTATTTACTTTCCCACGAGGCTAATTCTGTGGCGGCTTGCATAACAACCCTAACCCGCTTTAATTCAGGTAATTAGCTTGGTCTCAGAGTTGGAGAGCAGAGATTACACAGAGGGGTGTAAGCTTTGTCTGGTATGTGTGCACAAAATATCAAAAGCTGCAAGTAAACAAAGAAGAAAGGTTCTTATTGCTTGTTTAGCTTAGGTCAGAGAAGGATGTCCACAGTCGTTTTGTGTACATGCTGTAAATATTAGAAGTACAGTGTCCCAGAAGAGGAGTCCTCCCTGCTGCCAAACATGGAATCCAGTCGCCCTTTTATAACGCCTCGTGTCTAGTTAAATGGATGTGCCAACACTTCTTCTGTGCTTTATCTGCTAATGTTGGCAGTTAGTTGATTAAGTACATTAATTTAGGCATTGGCAGTTTGCAGACATATGCAATTACTAGACGTACAGTGCATTAGTTATCACTAATGTACACATGGAGGCTGGGAAGAGAGACTGCAGCAGCCAGCTTTAACAGTCTGCAAATAGAATTAAACAAGTCTCCCCTTGTAGTAGGTTTAATTTTGGTTCCACTCATTTGTGCTCCAGTTCTTTCACTTAAATATATGCCCTGAGAATACCTGAACAAGGTTTGGATGCTAATGCTTGTTTTCAGGGACCCTGCTTGTTTTGAGGTTAAATTGATGAGTCCAATATCCTTGGCTAAATTCAGAACCATTGTCATTGCCATTACTACTGCTCCTGCGATTAGCCTTATTTTAATCTTGTAATATGAGTTAATTGTAGTTCATTCTGACATAGTGTTTTGGTTTTCAGCCTTGTATACTGCCATCTTGGCTAAACTTCCAACCTCAGTAGGATTTTCCCAAATAAGTGGGAAAAAAGTGAAAATAGAAAATTTAAGGTCAGCCTTTTATGGCAAATGGCCTTTCGGATGCAACCCTGAAGGCTTGTGTGTCCTCCAGGGTAATAATATTAATATTAATATTAATATTGATATTGATATTAATATCAATAATAATAATAATAATAATAATAATAGTAACTAAGAACAACTAATTTTTTTTTTTGATAAAGGTCATGGAAAACCCTCTTTAAAATAGGACCAAATGATCTGGAAAACAGAGTGGTGCTCACATCAAGGCATCGAAAGCATGGAGGAGACAAACATCTGATGACATGAAGACTCTAGTGACACTTAAAGTACAGGGTGGGCCATTTATATGGATACA